TTATGCCAAATAGCAATTTCACTTAAAAGCCTTACTTTAATCTTGCAGTGGTCCTTACTGCAGGAAATATTTTAAGTGAAGGCCAGATTTGTGCAGTTTGGAGAGATTTCAAGCATTTTATTCTACCATTATTTAGGGCTATGAAAATATATTTTGCTTTTAGGGCAGTCACAGTAATGCAGACTTTCCTCCCAGAATTCTGTGAGATGACTTGAGTTTCTGCATGGATTATACAGGGGGAAAAATAACTGATGCAATAGCATCTGTATTAACAAGGTGCTGTGGTTTAGACCTCTCAAAATTCCCTCCAATGACTTAAAAGTTGCTCTTGAGCAAAGTGCCTGTGACACGTAGAGTGTTGTTCCTTATTTCCTTAGTGTTTTCATTGCGTAATTCCCTTTTTTTGGTGAATTACACAACTTATCCTTGAATAGGAAGTGGAATATTTAGGCTTGCAGCTTTCTGTAATTTAAAAAAAGAAAGTGTGGCAGCAGGTTCCCACACTTTTTCCTTGTCTCTCTCCAGCAGGGTTTGCTGATCCCCCTGTTTGCAGTGAGCTGAACACCTTTGCTGGAGGTTTTTTGTCTCCATAGGCAGAGCTTTGAAGGTTTTTATATGGCATGAATGGAAGTTTGTACAAACACCAGTGGCTGGAGTTTTATTTGGGAAGGGTGGAAGTTCTCCAAGCAAAACTTGGTTTGTGGTTTGTGTCAGTAGTCACCGGTTCTGGCAGCCCAGAGGTTTTGTGAGTGCTGCAGCTCTTTTGGTTTCGTTCTGCAGAGAATCCCAAGCCCAAGCCATGCTTTCAAACCCTTGTGTGTGTCTAAACAAGTGGTGAGTGCAGAGGGAATAATCTCACCTATTTTCAGCAGCCTGGGTAGTTTAATATCTTCAGTTATCCCAAAAACTGCAGCCCTTCAGTGAGGATGGCACAGAGAGAGCTGCTGGCCAAAAAGTCACATTAAACAGGATAATTACTTTGCTCCTTGCTTCAGTCAGTGAGAAGGTCCTGAAGGAGAGCAGAACATTCTGTGGGAGAGCAGAACCCCCTTTTTGAAAAGGGGAAATCTGGATGGGGAAAAGCCCCATGTCTGACTGAGATGTGCCCAAAGCTTTGTTTGAAGACCTGCTCTCTTCTCTCGGCCAAGAGAAGCCCTTCCAGAGCAGCAGACAGCTCTCCCAGCAGAAGGGCAGAGGTTACTTTGGTGAGATTTCTATCTCCAAAGCATCTCTTCAGCTCAGCCCAAAATAACCACCAAAAGCAGCATGTGTGAGCTGTGAGCATCATTGCATCGATGCCACTTTGAGTAATGACCTAACCAGAACCCAGATCTTAATTTGCTTTTTGGCTCCTCTTTCTGAAACCAAATTACTTCAGTTGTTTACAGCTGGGTGTGCTTTTTTTCATGGCTTGGTACTCTGTCTTGCTCTCCTAGCAGTCTGTTTACTGATTATTAGCCCTGCTAATGCCAGTTGGCAGAGATTTGCCTTCTCATTTCAGGGCCAGCAGCCAGCACACCTTTGAAGTCCTTGAAGAATTAGTTGCCTAGGGAATTCTTCATGCTATAACCTATTTTTTTTTTTTTTTGTCATTAACTGAATTCACCACAATCATCTTTATAATGTAATTAATAAAGGTTTCTTAGCCATGCTCGTGGGCATTTAGGGCATTGTGCAATAGTTCAATAAAAACATTACAAAACACAATAATCACAACATATAAATAGAAAGAGGAGCAGTCTGGGAAGATGGGAGCATCAGAGCCTGAAGGTATTTAGGAACTAGATCTTTATTCAAGCCTAACTCACAATGATTTAGAAACAAACCAAAACAACACTACCCCCACAAAAAAAAAAAATCCCCCCCAAACCAAAACCAAAAATATATATTTTCTACTAAAAGGCCCTGAGCTATTGGTACAGATGGAAAATAGATGTGTCAGAGGGGAGAGGAAAGTATACCTGGTGAAGTTCTCAGCTTCACTGCTGTTGTCTGCAGTGGCTGGTGATGGCTGGAAACTGCCCTGTGGGGGTTGAGGAATGAGCATTCACCCCTATGAAATTGGTAATGTTGGTGTTTTTATGGCCATTTAAGCCTCCATGTGGTCACTTGTGCCTGTTAAAATCTTAGGTAAAATTTCACACAGAGGTGGTTTCTTGTAGGAAAGATCAGCACAGTTCTCAGCTCCCCATGTATAACTCAGTAATCCCAAAGAGAAGTCAGCTTGGTTTTTTTGCCCTCCATTATTCTTTATCTCAGTGATAAAAGAACTTTTAATGTATCAATACTTTTATTACAGCCTTCATATTCTATGCTGATGGTGAAGACCAGTTTACAGTAATTTTTTTAACATTCATCCATGAATCCATCAAGATCAGTGCTTTGACTGTTGTTTTTTTTGCTTTAAAAAGGTATGTTTTCCATTTAAATGGGCAGTGGTTCAAGAGCAGTTGCAAAACTGTGTTACACAATGCAGGAATTCCTGATACATAAGCAACAGGCAGGCGTGGCTAGCTGCTGGGAGCTTTTTGGGTCAGTATGCCATGGATTAGTGTTTATTATCTAACTTTTTCAAAGTAGGAAACTCTGAATTTTTTTTTTTCGCTCTGCAGTTTAGTTTGGGACTGCACGAGGGGGTGGATCATGGGCAAAACACTGTTGCCTCTGAAATCCTGGCTTTTGTAGGCTCCAGTTCCAAGGGAAGGCAGCTCAGAGGTGAAGTATTAGCAGTCTCACCACGTACAGCCTGGGCATCCTTTTTCTTCTTCAATAGCTAAAAGCAAAAAAGATTGAAGGCATGGAAAAAAAAAGCTGTGCTTTGCCTGTGTAGTTCCCTCATCCACGGAGCTCTTTTTTTTCCCATGGGCAGGATGTGACCTTTGGATGTCTACAGCATTGCAGCTGAGATGAAATCATTTTATAAGCAGTGATCAAAAAGCATATCCATGGCTGCAGCAGTGCCCAGTGGAGTTTTAGCCCAGCACCACGTTAATCCCATTTAATAATCTGTCCAAGCACCTATTTAATGCAAGTGGATAATTCCAAACTGCATTTCTTATTCTAGCAGCTTCCCAAAACTGTCCCTGTTATAATTGTCAGCTTTACAGCAATGATGTGACTTGTTTGATATTGAATATTTCTAGTATGGGGAATATAAATCGCTTGGTAAATTGATATTTCTCAATCAGCAATCCCTTATGCCTCTGTGGGGTGAAAGCCCATGTGTAAATCAGAAAGCAGTGAATGCTCTTGAGGAAAACAGTGAGGTGAGGACAAAAGTTTCCTGATCGATGTTGCTGCTTCATAAGGCAGATAAACATTTCTGTAACAGCAGAGTGGATTTTGTGGTTACTACTGCAGCTGCTGCTTGTGACTGGCTGCATTTAAAAGCCCTTGAGATGTTTCACAGGGTATAAATAAGAAAAAAACCCCTGTTCTTGAGTGACAGATGGTGTTTGGGTGGTGTTTGGGACAGTGTGTGCTGTTGGCATTGAGGGGTCACCTGGAACATGTTCACCCCTGAATCAAACCAGTGTCTGGGTAGTGTGAAAAGCAGGGGCATTTTGTATCCAAATCATTATTGCCTCCAGTGTGTACTTGAAAATTTGCATGGTTTTCCTCTCTGTTTTTTCCAATGGCAAAGGGCATTCAGGGTTTTGGGATGATTTTATGGGATAGCCCTTGTTCTCCTGTGATTCTGCAAATAAATCATCCTCTTACTCCATCAAAGGCACTTACAGCATCCACAAGCTGCTTATTGCTTTAATCTCTGCATGGATTTAGAAGCCAAATGGCAAAGATGGACGGGAGCAGCACAGCACATTAATACTCCTGAAAGTCTGTAACAGGCTTGGCTTGTGCCTGAATAACAGGAGATGGATGCTCCAGATAAAACCAAAATGAAAACAGGGTGTTTCTTCCTCACCTCTGAAGGAATACAAAAGAACTCTTTGGGGTGTTCCAAATTTGCATAGCTGCTCCCAATTAAAAAACAAAACAAAACAAAACAAAACAATGTTTTGCCCCTGAACTGCTTGAGAAGGAGAAGCTGTGTCAGAATTGTGAGTTTTTCCCAGAGATTTTTAAACTTCCCCTGGTGCAGACAGGTTTTCTGTTGGCCACAATGGGAGTTGGGTACCCAGTGGCTTTTGAAAATCCCACTGGCCCCTGCTGAATACTCAGTGACCATGAGCTTTTGTTGCAGCACTGCCCAGGAATGCAGAGCTTGGTGGTCCCATTGTGTTGCCATATCTATTTTATAGCCCTGGGGGCAGCTCAGTGGCTCCAAAGCAGTGTGGAATCCACCCCTCCAGGGAGCTGATGGACCTCAGGGGGCATGGGTGGGAAGGATGCCTTGAGTGGGGTTGTGTGGAGTGTGTGGAAGGTTCTTCCACATGTAGGTGCCAGGCAGGGGCTGCTGGGTCAGGCTGTGTGGGGACGCTGGTGGGAAAGGAAGCCCAACCTTGTACCCAAGTTAAAATTTCTCAGCAGCTGCTGAGGGCTTGCACTGGGGTCAGGACCTCTGTGTCCTCAAAATGCAGCAGCCTGAGACTTCAAAAAACCTCCAAGAAGGCGTATTTTGGCAGAGGAACAGAGCTGGTTTGTTTAATCTGAGAAGACCATCCAGAAAAGGAGGGCAGCAGTGGAGGCATCTGGGTACAAAATCCCTTTCACAAAGGGAGAACGGGCAGTGCAGACAGGGAACAAACCCTGTGCTCCTCTGGTGCTCATCCCTGGGTACCACAGTGGGATGGGCCCACGCTGCCCCATGGGGTGCACTCCACACCAGGAGCTTCCATGGGGCATTTTTCCCAAGGACAAAGCACTCCAGCTCTGTGCAGAGAAGCAGGGAGGAAATCTAGTGCCAAGGGTCATGCTGCAGATGACTTTTAAGGAAGGGAAAGATACCCACTCAGAGCTTTTTTTAATTCAGGTGTTTTGCAATGACCCTCCTGCAGTCACTTAAAGAACTCATGACACGTCCTCTGTTTCTATTTCAGGCCAAGAACACCCGAACAGCCTGAGGCACAAATACAACTTCATTGCAGATGTGGTGGAGAAGATCGCTCCTGCTGTGGTTCACATTGAATTATTTCGCAAGTAAACAAGATGCCCAGTCTTGATTTTTTTTTTTCTTTTTCTTTTCTATTTAATTATTGAAAACAGCTGCCATTGTGACAGAAATGTTGATTGATGGTATGAAATAGCAAAGAGGTTTTGAGATAATAAATATTTGTCATGCTTAAGAATTAAGAATAATTTAAGAGTCATGGAAAAATAATTAGCTAAAGTAATGGATGTGCTTTATCTTCTTAATGAGCGTAACAGCAGATATCTTAAAGCATTAAAAACTCACCAAACTCCTTTTGGCTGTGTGTTATTTGGAATGATTTGTGACCTTTCAGCTTTTTTGCAGCAATAAACGTTTTATTTCCCTTGTCTTTCAGACTTCCTTTTTCCAAGAGGGAGGTTCCTGTTGCCAGTGGCTCGGGGTTCATCGTCTCTGAGGATGGGCTGATTGTCACCAACGCCCACGTGGTCACCAACAAGAACAGGGTGAAAGTGGAGCTGAAGAACGGGGAGACTTATGAAGCCAAAATTAAAGATGTTGATGAAAAATCAGACATTGCACTAATTAAAATAGATTCTCAGGTGAGTCGTTAAAGCAAGACACGTTTAATTCCTCTAATTTAACATCCTCCTTTCCAAAAGCTGTTGCTGATTTTCAGGTTTGAAGGAAAAACAAGTTGTTTACTGGGCTGAATTGCTGAGAATATATGAACTAGGTGGATACACATTTTTAAAAGCCAAGTTTGTGGGTGGCAGTGGTTAATTTTGTCACCTCTCAGCATAGTGAAAGGATTACATAGCACTTTTTTTATGTATCCTCAAAATAAAAAACAACGTCCCAGTTTGTACTGGTTTGTACACACTTTATCTGATATAACTCTTGTCTCAGAGAAGAAATGGGGATGTTTTACTTGTGTTACTCTGTCTTGAGTGCCTATATTGAAGACACAAATGGCTTTTAGAGGATACATTTGTAGATACTACTGACGTAGATACTAAAGTGGAAAATATCTTGGGGAGCATCTTGAACACAGAAATTAAAGCCGGCTTGGAAAGATGTTCTTTCACTGCAAGTGGTTTTCTGAGCAGCTTCCCATCTATGACCTTCTTCCATATCAAATGTTCCTCTCTCAGCGTTATTGTGCCTCCTGCCACAGCAGAAAAGCTGTCAGGAGGTTCTGCACACGTAGCAAGAAGAATATTGTGTGGACACGCTGTGCAATGGAGATGCAGTGAGCCGGATGGGCTGTTTGGGGTGCTGCTCATGTTGGCTCCCCTCCTTTGGTTTGTCATTTAATGACCTCCAAGTTGAACGGGCAGGAATGCTTCATTTGAAACTCATGACTCAAAAATGTGTAGATCTTGCAGTGTTGTTTTAGTTCAGAGCTATTCCCCAGCGAGGTCAGAAGTGTTTGTGCCAGAGTTCATGACTAAGCCAGGCGCCTAACGCACAGCTCTTGGATCACCGAGGTATGAAGTGCTCCTGCTGCTCCCTTGCCACCTTTATCATTTCAAACTTTTGCTTTTTTAAAAGCTTCTGAACAGGCAGAAAAACCGAACAGTACCGATAATGGGTTTGCCGTGTTGCTTTTTTTCTATTTTATGGCGTCGCTTGTTTTCTCGTTTTTATCTTAAAATAAGAAAAAGGAGTAGGAAGCGAAGGGAGAGATCCCCAGCATGAGCACTGGCAGCATTAGGATGAGGCAGGGAGTGAAGGGCAGCTGGAAAAATGCTTTAAAATTGGAAGTACAACGTAGAGGGGAGAGCAGACATGGTGAGAGGGAGAGGACTTGGAAGCAGCAGGAAGCTGAACTTCAGAGGAGAGAGGTGGCAGAGGGAGAGGAGACCCTGAACTGATGTGATGGTCAGTTTGAGGACTCAGGAAAAGAGCAGGCATGGGCTTGAATGTTGTTTGATACCCTGAGGAAATGGCTCCTAGTTGCCCTGGGAAACTGCTTGGGGGAAGGGAGAACCTGGAAGCAGCCTGGAAAAAAGAGAATTCATCCAGATGGGCTGGTGTGGAAACCACTGTGCAACAGGGCTGGAATTGGTCTGACCTGCCCTTGGAAGCAACTTATCAGCTGCACAAACCAGTACCATGGGTGGTGTTCTCCTCCTGGCCTCTCCCATTGCAGCTCAGGATAATTTTGAGAAGACTGGGGGAAAATTTAATGGGATGGGAGACCCAGATTCCCAGCCAGCTTCTGGTAACATGGCACTGGGAAATCCCAGTCCGAGGTGAGGCCTGAGGCACCTCTGTTCGCAGGACAGGTGCTGCTTTGCATCTGAGAATTAAAAACAATGTTTTATGTGTTCACAAAAAAAATAAGTTAAAATGGAAATGTGGTCAGCTGAGAAATTGATTCTCAGATTGAACTTTTATGGGGCATTTTTATATACCCTTTCAAGTTCAGTGTTTGAGCTTTCCTTTTTGTACTGGAATGCCTTGCAGTCATTCAGATGCATAAATGACTTTGTAAAATCACAGGGGTAATAATTTGAATTTGAAATGTATTTGCTGGCTAAAGAAGTCAATGGGGTGGTACAAATGATCCCTTAAAAATCTGGATATGGAATGAAAACCATCCTGAAGAATTTTTCTGAAGTAAGAGGTGAAATTCTTAAATTAGAATAAATTATTTGAAGGTGACATCAAAGATGCAGAAGGTTTTTTTTCTTTTTCATGTGTGGCATGTTAAGGCAGGATCTGAAGGGTGAAGAATGCTCTGTGATTAGGAACAGAGCTGGGCTGTCAGCTGTTCAGATTTTGTAGCAGCCTGAATGCTGTTTTCCTCTAAGGTGTGAACATCTGGCCAAAGACATTAGTAAACGAATTTGGCTTTGCTGAGTGCAGTAGGAAATGAAAGAGGGTGGCAAAATCAGGGCAGCAGTGAGGATGAACCCTTTCCCTGATTAAATTCTTTTCCGTGGAAAAGCATCTTGCAGTCAATGAGGAACAGAAACCTTGGAGCAGTTGTTCCAGCCCTAAAATGTGCTTGTTTTTACAGTCTATAAAAGAGAGCACGGGTGTTTCTTGTGGCTGTGGTGACACAGAGCAGTTTGCTGCAGTGTTGAAAGTGGGAAGTAAAATTGGAATCAATGTGGTAGCCATGAGTCCAATCTAAATATCCTTCCAAATGCAAGGAGGAGACCACATCACTAGAAAGGAACAGTGCAGTTGCAGGCAATTTGGATATGAACATGCAAAATTTATAAGACTTCCTTAGAAAAAATTGGATTTTGGCAGCATAGGCAGGGACTGGTGAAATAAATAATCTGTCCTGTGTGGCACGTGTGATCCTGCAGCGGGTGTGAAACCCATCAAAACAGTTGCACAACACTCCAAAGGGAGCAGATGCTTTTTTGCTGGCAGAGGAAAATGCTTTTTTGCATTGTGGGATTCATCTCAAGGCAAATAACTACCTTGTTAAATCAGAATGTGTGATACAGCTGCTGAAAAATAAACACCAGCAGGAGGGGAGGAAATTTTAGGGTGGTTTAATGGACAATGTCAGGGTTAACGGGGGGCAGAAATTTAAAAGAACCCAACCCAAATGGAAACTGGAAGCCTAGAGTAGTGGAAGGTGGAGGTGGCTTTTGCCTGGGGACCCTTTTCAGCCCTGGAAACTGAGCTCTGTCCACAAAAATGATGTCTGTGGTTTGGCACTGAAGGGAGGAGCATGGTGAATGGCTTTATTTTGAGGGGTTTCTTCTTTCTATGTGCTTAAAAGCCAGCCATGAGACAGACACTGACCCTGAAATCACGCAGGGAACACATGCCAGGTCCTGAAGATTTTGTTCCTCATTGTGGCCAGTTCCTGGTTCTCTACCCCAGACAGGATTTGGCATCTGCGTGGTGCAGCAGCAGTGGGGCTGTGATCCATCTCTAATTTGTGGTGACATTCAGCCCTGCAGCTGAAACCTCCAGCTTAAAATTTCTCCTGTATCTTATTAATAAACACTTTGTTTGACACTTTAAAATCAACAGGACCTTCTGCCCTCGTTCCCCTGGTGGTTTCCTGAAGCAAAGAGTGTCTATCTTTGTGGTCAGAGGGGATTTGATTTTCCCCTGTGTGTACAAACTGGAGGAGGCAGGAAAGCAAACTTCCCCTGTTTATGCATCAATATTTTAATGGCCCACCTTTTGAAAAAACAAACTGCTTGGACACCAAATGTAAGTGGCTTTCCTAAAATGCTATTTCACTTTGAAATCTGGGTAATACATTGCTTCCTCTCTAGAGGCTGAGGAAGCCCACATATTGCTTCCAGAAGTCTTCAGGACCCATAGAAATGCAATAGCTGGTAAAAAACTTGGATCTTAACTCCAGTTTATTCATCAATTCAGGCAGAAGTGGTTTTCTGCCATCTTCAGCTTCCAGTAGCCCTCACTGTGGGGACAATGTCCTGGTCCAGCTTCCCATGCAATAGAGTACTCACATCTCCAGGGTGGGTCTGCCAGCACCAGCATCTTGTTAATTACTATTTTTATTTTATTTAATTGTAATTTCATTTGTATTTTATTTTTAAGGGAGAACAGCAATCTCTTGCCAGGCAATTGAAAACCTGGTGACATATCAAAACAACACTTCATCCTTTTCTTCTTTTTTTTTTCCTGCAAGTTTCCCATGCTCCATATTTAGATAAGGAGACTTGGTTTTGCTTTTCTAACTATGGATGAAATACTTTTGGAGGCTTGTAATGTGTTCAGCCTGGGATTTTTGTTTTCTTTGAATCACTGTCAAGCAGTTTCTAGATTGTAGATGATATTCTATATTTTTACATGCTCATGACTGGTGTTTTTATTTTGCCATAATGTATTCTGAAAGTTGAGTTAGTCAGAACAGAGATGCAATTCCCAGGACAGTTACATGTTTTGCCAGAGTTACACTTACAGCTGAATTAGTGTTCCACACCAGCATCTGTGCCTTTCCCACCTGAAAATAAGAAGCATGAAGGAGATCTGTCGCTGGTTAACACAAATTGAACTCAGGACTTTTGTCTCCTCTTCATCCGTTTATTGAACTGCAAAGTGCTTCCTGCGAATTCCTGACTTTCCATCCACAAACGAAGGGGATTACAGAACAGAGGAGGGATTTATTTGCTTTCTGTGCCAGCAGAGAGACCCATTCACTTATTTCATGGCTGAAAAAGTTCAAACCAAAACACCTCCTGCTTATGGCTGCCTGTCTCTTGGTTTCCATTTCTCTGTGGCTGTGCCTGGCTGGTGGTTTTGTGCCTCCTCCTCTCTTAGTTTTGGAGCTAGATTTGTCCAGATTTCACTTATTATTGTCCAGATTTCACTTATTTTATCTGACTCAAGTTGTACTGTTAAAGGACACCAGGTGAACATCTGTGCTGGCCCTGCTGGGGCTGCACCTTGAATCCTGGGGTCTGTTTTGGGTCCTTCACTGCAAAAAGGACACGGAGGGGCTGGAGTGTGCCCAGGGAAGGAAACGGAGCTGGGGAAAGGGCTGGAGTCCCAGGAGGGGCTGAGGGAGCTGAAAAGGGGATGAAGAATTCCTGATGGAGCTGGGAAGGGGCTGGGGAACTCCTGAGGGAGCTGGGAAGGGGCTGGAGAACTCCTGAGGGAGCTGGAAAGGGGATGGAGAGCTCCTGAGGGAGATGGGAAGGGGCTGGGGAACTCCTGAGGGAGATGGGAAGGGGCTGGGGAACACCTGAGGGAGCTGGGAAGGGGCTGGAGAATTTCTGAGGGAGCTGGGAAGGGGCTGGGAACTCCTGAGGGAGCTGGGAAGGGGCTCAGCCTGGAGAAAAGGGGGATCAGGGGGACCTTGTGGCTCTGCACAGCTCCTGCAGGAGGGGACAGCCGTGGGGTCAGGCTCTGCTCCAGGGAACAGGGACAGGAGGAGAGGGAATGGCCTCAGGCTGGGCCAGGGGAGCTCAGGGTGGATATTTGGGAACAATTTCCTCATAGAAGGGCAGTACTGGAATCTCCATCCCTGGAGGGATTTAAAAGCCATGTGGATGCAGCACTTGGGGACATGGGTTAGTGTTTGGTCTCAATAATCCTACAGCTCTTTTCCACCCTAAATGATTCCACGTTTCTCTGAGTCCTTCTGGCTGATGATGCTGATCTCTTCCTCTCCTCTCGTGCCACAGTAGCTGTGTCCTATTGTTGGATGGAACCATTTCTTGTGGTGGTGTGCAGCTCCCCATGTTGTGGGAGTGGTGTTTATCCAGGGTTTGAGTCAAATCCATATATAAAAATGTCTGAAGCCCTTCGGGATGTGAAGTGCTTAAAATATTAACCCTAATTAATGGCTCCTTCTCTGGCTGGGTGTAAACAGTGAGTCATGTGCCACTTAGGGGTTTGCATGTTTAGTCCTATTTCTGTGTGCTTGCAGAATGCCTGCCTGCAGATTTGTTTTATTGAGTAAACATGGATCCAGCAGAGCCCCAAGGCTTCATCAAAGGAAAAGTTAGAAAAGACAGGGGTAGAAAAGATATTATATGTTGCCCAAGGCCGTGCAGTGAGTCACTGGGAGAGCTGGGTTTGGGTGTTCCTGGCTCCCTGCTGGTTGTGCTGCAAGGCATGGTCCTTTGCCTGGCACTTTTAATTAACTGCTGGGGCAAATCTTTAGTTAAAGCAGGAAAATCACGAGTTGGAGTGGTGCTTATGTCATCCTGACGGCCATCAGACATTATGTAAAGATTGAAGAATGCACATTTATGAAGTATAGTTATTAAGAGCCCTGAACTCACACTCAGTTTACCAGGATTCCTTAACTTCCTCGGGATGAGCTTGCCAGTGGCAGGGGTGAGGTCACAGAGGGTGTTCTGACATGATCCTGCTTACAACACTGCCAGAAGGATGTTTTTCCCACTCCATCACGGGGTTTTGTACTGGTTTTGTACTGGTTTTTTTTGTACCTGGTTTCAAAACCACGTGTACAATGTAAATGAGTTTGTTTTGGTTTTTTTATAACAGAAAATTTAATATTGAGCGTGGCAATGTTTAAGCTATTTCAGAGAGAAATTTCAAATTTAAAGCCATGACAACACATACATTCATCATAAAAAATTCTTCATGGCATTGTTTTGTAGGGGCACTACTATATTTACATGCAGTGCTGTCAGTGTGTCAGTTCTTACCCCCACCAGGAAATCACAAGGAATAGAGGACACGTTTTCCAAAGCTGTGTTTCATAATATGCACAGGACAAGGAGGTTTTTGCAATGGATTTTTGTTTCTAGCAAGGGAAAGGTTAGCCAGACTTTCCAGAAGACTTGTTGAATCACAGCAGTGACCTGCAGCCAATCCATACAGCATCAGGGTTTGAACTGAAGCCTGGCTAGTATAGGCACAGCCCTGAAAACTCAGCACAATCACAATTGTATTAGTCACAGATCGTTCCTGTACTTTCTCTCTGCTGCCAGATGCAATTTTGGCTTTGTGACTGTTGTTACAACTCTGGAACTTTGTATAAATATTTTAACTTTGTGCATGACCAGCTTTTTTTTTTTTTTTTTTTCTGTTAATGAAACATAAAAAGTATTCTTTTTATGTTTTCTTTTGCTTGTCTCTGTTTCATTTGCTGATAAATGTCCTCTTTCTCTACAAAATATTTGGTTTTGGTGCACTGGGATATAAGCATGAGCCATTTTTTTTTGTCTTTTGTGTGGGGTTTTCGTTGTTTGTTTTTTTTAAAGAAGGAAAAGCAGTGCCAAAAGAAGATGCTGGTTTTGACCAATGACATCTTGCAAAGACGTGCTACGTAAGCTCAATAGCATCTGGTGAGAGGAGGAAGGGCCAGGGTGCTCCCTGTGTCCAAACATGACCCATATGGGCTGGGATCAGCTCCTGATTCCCCTGCCCTGGCCATATCCCTTGGAGCCAGGGCTGTGCTGGGATCAGGGACTGCCCTGGGATGCTTCTCCTGCTTCTCTGCAGCGCTGCAGAAGTGATGGGGAAACTGGGCAGAGCTGCTGGATCCTTCCCAGAGCTCAGCCACAGCTGTGGCTGGGTTTATCTGGCTGTGGCACTGATAAGGGCTGAATTTTATCACTATTTTTAATTAGTGGGGCATTGCTGGTTGTGATAACTTTCCTCTGAATGCAGATAGACATGGAAATGCTTTCTCCTTTCTGTGCTGCCTATTCTGTTGCTCTTCCAGCTCACTCTGTTGAACAAGCTGTTGCTTTAATTATTTTCTTGCTGTCTGGAGACTGAAAGATAAGTTTTCATAAAGCATCTTACCCTGTGGGAGCTGGCAATGAATTTTATTGAAACAATCTGCTCATCTGAGTAAAACTTCCCTGGTGGGATTGCAACAAAGCTGGATAAAGGATACACAAGGCCAGTCTTGTAAAACATTAAAACCATAACTTCTGTATTTGCAGCAGCATGTAGTGACAACTGATGGCATTATTTTTTGCTTTCTACTTTGCAGGCATTGTCTGTCTCTTAGGATATTTGAAATAAACTGTGGGTGAAAAATACAAAGTGATGGGAATTTGGGTTAGTTTATAATACTGAATTTTTGTCCCTATGGATGACTTATTGAGTCAGGCTTTCAAACTGCTGGTAACAAAACCCCTTAAGAGCCAGCAATGAGCTTCCAAATTAAACATGCAATATTTTTCCTTTTTGCCAAAACTTGAAGTAGGTCAAGCTTGGAGGAAAGCTAGGTTCAAGTCAGCTTTGCCAAGCAAAAGATAAATGCTTCCAGAATTCTGTTTTGATTTTTGGGTTCAGTAACCTAATCCTCCAAATCCTTAAGTCTAAACCTGCATTTATACGTGTCCAGGTTCATTGATGCTAATAGAAATAGTCTAGTGACATGATTAAATTACCTGGGGAGGGTCAGGATCATTTAGACAACAGATAAAACAAAAATATTTAAAAACATGTCACATCACTGTAAGTGTAGAGATTGACTTTTAAAAGTGTGAAGGAAGGGAGAAATGGCGCTCAGTGTGTATTGTACAGGCAGGTGATGAATCAAAAAAAAGTATTTATTTGAAGTATGATCTGTTTCAGAACACCCTTGATTCATTGGCAAGAGTGTGTGAATCCAACCTTCCCTCCCCTTTTTTATTTTTAATTGCTGTAGAATGCGGTGTGTGCTGAATTTTAAGAATGTTTTAGTGGGAATGTCTTCAACTATGTGATATTTAATATGTTTAGAGATAAGATCTTGAAAGGAAAGTATAATGGTATCCTCTACTGTCATAACAGAAAAATCACATCAGGTCCTTAAATCCTAACATCTTCAGGGGAAGACATCACTGTATGTAGGAGGCAATATAATTATTTAGAAGAGATGCTTCATTTAAAGAAACTAAGATGAATCATTAGCTGGTGTCTTGTGAGAATATAAAATGCTTTTAAATGTACACACAACTCTTGGGCTGTTGCTTTCATGATTCTTTAGTGTTCACTCTCAAACAATATCATATTTTTACTTCAACAGCTGTTTGCTAATTATTTCAAGAAGTGTTGGAAGTGGCTCATTTCTAGTATTATCAGATGTTTGCTTTGTACAGCAGAGCCTAAATATTCCTTTGGTCTTTTAATTGTTCTTGATTTAATGGGTACCTGTTGTGGAAAAAGTTCTCCAGTGTAAAGAGCCCACACTGGTGCTCCTGCACCAACCCACACACAAAATACTCAAAGAAAACAGAACAAACAAAATCCCTGAGGGATAAAAGCCTCTCTCCTTTCCTCTACCCTGTGAATGTGTTCATCCTTCCATAACATTTGTTCTGCCAGCGGAGCAGTGTCTTTAACATTTGAATTTTATTTTTTCTTTCTTTTTTTTTTTCAGGGTAAATTGCCAGTTCTTCTGCTTGGCCAGTCTGCAGACCTGAGGCCAGGGGAGTTTGTGGTGGCCATTGGAAGTCCCTTTTCCCTGCAGAACACGGTGACCACGGGCATTGTCAGCACCACGCAGCGCGGGGGGAAGGAGCTGGGGCTCCGTAACTCCGACATGGACTACATCCAGACTGATGCCATCATCAATGTACGTCCCCTCCACTGCTGCCTTCAGCCCTTGCCTTCCTCCAGCAGAAATTCCTCCTGAGATGCTGTTCTGAGGAGCAGGGAGTGCTTCTCTCCCTCTCCCTGCAATCTGGACATCTGCACCACAGCAGCACTCGGGTGTTACTGAGAAACCCCCCGAGGAACCACGCCAGGCACAATATCTGCCTTCGCTTCAAAATCCTTGCAGATTGCAAGGGAGGAGGCAATATTCTCTGGCAAACAAATATCTTTTCAAATTCCATCTTGTTTTCTGAAAAAGAAGCCAGGCTTCATTAAAGGATTCAAGCTTGTTTCTGCAATAAGGCAAAACAATAGTTTTTGTACTTCAGATCTTGGCCTTGTAAGAAATCCCCACTAACAGCTCCCAGAGCTGTCCCAAAATCTTCTCAGATTCTAGTGTGGCACTAAGAAAACAAAAGGAAAACCTTTGCTTTCTTAACTTACTCTGGCAGTAAGTATTTGCAAAGCTCAGCTAAAATGGGTGATGTTAAAGTGTAGTTTATGGGTTTGGCAGTTTAAGACTGGTCTTGCATTTATTTAATAGACAATGGAAACAGTACTACAGAAATATTTTTAAAATTTATTTTATATTTTGCTTGCAACAAATTAAGAGGTAAATACTAAAACATGTTCTTAACTTATGTTTATTTTCAGTATGGGAACTCTGGAGGACCCCTAGTAAATCTGGTAAGAGTTTCTCTGAGTTTGCTTAGATGACGAGTTTATTGCTTTTTAATTTTAAAAAATTACAAGCAGCAATATACCCCACCCAAACCAACAAAAAAAGCAAACTCCCCCCACCAGATGTGTGATTTGCAACTTTCAATATCTGGCTGACTACACAAAATTCACATGGTTCTTACTAATCAGTTGTCTGTGTTTATGTTGGCTAAAGGCTACATTTGGATTTCAATATTTAGGATGTTTATGATTTGCATAATTTCAAATAAGTGTAATGTGTTTTTTTTGCTCAAGCCTTGCAAAAAGGGAAAGACACATTTTGGACTGAGGTGTTTGCCCTTACTGTTTACCCTGCAGCTGGCAATTATTTTCTTTTGCACACACAGAAACTCAGCTAAATATTTCTAAAATGCATCTACCCTTTCATTTTGAATCACACCAAAGAAATCCACATATTTTCAGGATATTAGGGTTTATTTGCCAATATTGTAGAATGAACTGAAGCAGGTTGCAAAACTGTGTGAGAGCTCTCAGGTCTCCTGAGGGTACATGGGGTTGAGTCCTCAGGAGGCATGGCATGGAATGAAACTCAGAACTACTCAGAGTTTCTGCCTTGGAGGAGATTTGGCAAATTTTTTTTCCACCCAATTCACAGCACACATTCAGTCACACTTAATCTTCACTTAAAAACACCTGTAGTTAGACAGTTCTTGTCTGGGATGAACCAGAGAATGAAACTGCTGAGGTTTCAAAAGAGATGACATCAGAGATGTTTCATCCAAAGCTCTTGGAGGTATATTGCCAGGAAAACTTTTGATTTTTGGCAAACTGTATTTTTCTTTATGTAATAGTGGCTCGGGAGCAGTCGGTGCCATGCTTTATGTGGTGCTTGCTGAAATAAACACAGAATAGCTGCAGAATGTGTTGCTCATCTGCTGCAAGCATGAGAATTGCCCAGTTTTGATCTCTTCTGCAGCAAGATGAATAATCACATTGATTATCCAAAACTCCTAAGTAATGTTTTATCAATAGACTCAAAAAATTACACTTAAAGCGTAGAAAATAGAAGACCAGCTACAAAATGTGAATTTGTCTTTGTGACTGCTTGGAAGAAATGATCCATTTCTCTTTGAGGTATTCCATATTTGCTAATTTTGGCTTTTTTTTTTTTTTTTCTCCAGGATGGTGAAGTCATTGGAATTAACACATTAAAAGTTACAGCAGGCATCTCATTTGCTATCCCATCCGATAAAATAAAGAAGTTCCTAACGGAATCCCATGACAGACAAGCTAAAGGTACTCCACTTGGGAAGGGGAAATCCAGAAAATAACTTGGTGTAGTGGGTCGCATCACTGCCCATGGCAGGGGGTGGGAAATAAGTGACCTTTAAGGTCCCTTCCAACCCAAACCATCCTGTGATTCTGTGAAAACAGTGACAAACCATAAAGCCAACAGCCTGTGAGGCTCTTTAGCTCAGGGCAACTGCTCACAACCCTTTTTTCCTTTTTGTAGGGAAAGCTGTAACCAAAAAGAAATACATTGGCATACGAATGATGTCCCTAACCCCCAGGTAAGTAAGCAAGGTGGCTCCTCACCTTTCCCCAGCGTGGTCTCTGCATGCATTTGGATCCGGCTGGTGACGTGCAGCAGCGGCGGGAGGTTGGAGCCAGCACGGCGTGTCTCTGTGCGTGCTGGTGGCACATCCCGCCAGGCCTGGCCACCTTCTCCTCTGCGCCTGCCGCCCGGTGGAGCTCTCCTCTAGGCTCTCCTGTGAGCTAGCTCTTAAACAGCTCCTGGCTTTTTCTTCTCCTTAGTGCTTCAGAAGAGAATAGCTAGTGACTGTGGCTCTGTCCTGGCGTTATGTCCATGTTGTTGTACGTTTTCATGGCTTACGTCAGCTACGTGCGCACTCCCGTTCCTATAAAGTTGTTTTCATTAAACAATTCGCTTAATGTCAAATGAAGCTTTTGTGTGGACTTGCTTATTCATGCTCAGACTATAAGAGACTCGTGAGCAGGTAATGCCATGTCCTGTGAAAATAGCCAGGAGTTTTCCCTCGAGCAGGATGCACGGGTAGAACAAAGCATTGAAACACAAGGGGTTGGGGTTTTTTAGGTGCTCAGGATTGCAGGAGGTGATTCTGTCCCTCTAATCTGCTCTGAGGAGAACCCACCTGGAGTTCTGCATCCAGCCCTGGGGTCCCCAGCACAGGAAGGTCATGTACCTCTTGGAGCCAGTCCAGAGGAGGCCCCACAGATGATCAGAGGGATTGAGCGCCTCTCCCATGAGGAAAGGCTGAGAGAATTGGGGTTGTTCACCCTGGAGTAGAGACCTAATTGTGGGCTTGACCTAATTGTAACCTTCCAGTACCTGAAGGGAGCCTGAAAGAAAGATGGAGAGGGACTATTTACAAAGGGCCTGGAGTGACAGGATGAGGGGGAATGGCTTCCAACTGACAGAGAGCGGGTTTAGATGAGATATTAGGAAAAAAAATCTTCCCTATGAGGGTGAGGGTGCCCAGAGAAGCTGTGGCTGCCCCTGGATCCATGGAAGTGCCCAAGGCCAGGTTGGGTTGGGCTTGGAGCACCCTGGGATAGGGGAAGGTATCCCTACCCATGGCAGGAGTGGGGACTGGATGGGTTTTAAGGTCCCTTCTAGCCCAAACCATTTGATTCCATTATCTGGTAGTTTTAAATCTTTGAAATGTTTTAATTCTGATTGTCTGCATCTGTTGAAATGATTGCATTTACCAGAAATAGAAATTAAAAAGCTGTATGCATGCGAAAATATGTAGTAATTTCTGAAATATGCATCTAAGGGTTAAAATGAATGCTGAAGTGACATAACAATGTGTGTAAACACCTCAACCCGTGTTAAGTGACTTCAGTAAAATGGGCGGGGGGGTTTCTTCCTGTCTTGACAAAATATTTTTTTTTGCCATTTCTTCATTTTTCAGCAAAGCTAGAGAGCTGAAGGATCGCCATAAAGACTTCCCTGATGTTGTCTCTGGGGCCTATGTCATTGAAGTCATTCCAGAAACACCAGCTGAAGCGTAGGTTGAAGTACTTTTTTCTCAAAACCACTGCCACTGACTTAAGGGGGTAACGATGGAGACTGTTCCCTGCTTAACTGGCTTTCTTCATCATGCTGAATTAACAAGGCTGCGACCATCTGATTGCTATTAGGCTGTCTGCTGGAAATGGGTTTGTGGTTTCAGCCTGGTCCCTGATGGGCAATATTGTAATTGTGTCAGGGTAGTGCAGGGAAGCCCTGTCAGCCTTCCAGGCCCAAAGGGAAGGGATTCAGGGGGAATGAAAACTCCTTTTTCGTGTTTTTTCAGCTTCCAAGGCATCTGTTGTACCAGTGCCAGTGCTGAATAAAGACTTTTGCTCCTGCACAATCTCCATGGCCCTGCTGGTCACTGCAGGAGAGCAACTGAGAAGCTTTTGAGTCCACTTTGGAAGAAATGTCCACCTCAGTGTTGGCCAAACACACCAGCTCCCCTGGCACACCCTGGGGCTGAAATCCTCTCTTGGCAGCAGACACACTTCCATGTGAGAGCTTTGTCAGCAGTCACATTACTGGAAGGGCTTTTGAGTTTGGACAACTGATTTTTTTTTTTGTTTGTTTGTTTTTTTTTTTTTTGTTTTTTTTGTTCCTATTACTCAGTATTTGCTCAGAAACTGGCCCTGCTGGTTGGTACCATGTCTGGCTGAAGCCTGGCACTGAGCTGTGGCCACTGCCACTGGTCTGGCTGTCTTTTGCTGGAGATACTTTCCTCTCAGGGTTTGCTTGATAGGAAACTGCTCAGTAATCTAGGGCAGGAAATGGGAAACCTTATTCATTTTCTGAAACTAAGGATAATTTAAGAGAGGAGTAAATCTTTGTGGCACCAAAGGCATGTAGGCAGAAAGCTGCTTGGGGCAGGCATGCATTGCCTTTTAGGAAGACTGCAAGGATGGTTGGATGGTGTCTTTTGGGGCAGTTTGGGTGTAAAATTAACAGTGATAGCTGCCCAGTGTGCTCTCTGCACTACTGCTGTGTTTGCGGCTGATCCTTGCTGCCAGTGCTCATCAGGCAGAGCTCTGGTGAGTGTTTGTAGTGCGAAGGAATGTGCAGGAATGATTTGGCTGCTTCAGTGTGGGACTGGAATTGCTGCCTTGGTGTTCAGGTTCAGTCTGAAGGTTCAGAACAGTCATTTTAGGGGTGTGGGTGATAGCAGAGAGTGGGAGAGTGACTTTAGAGAGGGAGACAAATGTGAGGCAATGTAACTTTCTAATGTGAAGGGAGATCCAAATCAAGGTGCTCCATCCAAAGGATGGCCTGGCAGTAAAAATGCAGCCCATGTTGGCTCTGTGCCCCCACTCCCAGTCCCCTGGCCCAGAGGTTTCCTCCTTTCTGCTGATCTGTCCAGCACGTGTTGTGTAAAAATGCAGGAGCAGAGCTGCAGTGACCCGTCCTGGCTGTGAATCACAGCCTGGCTGCATGAAAAACCATGCAATGACTTCCTCCACCAACATGTTTTGGGCAATGCCTTCTGTAGGCAACCAGATTTGTTGTAAAATTTGGCCAAGGGCATCCTGCTTGCAGGAGACACTCGTGTCAGGCGCCTTCTGTGGGTGGAAGAGGCTGAGGAGTGGTCTGTGGTTTTGTGAAGGATTATGCTTGTGAAGGGTTGAATCATGTCTGATCTGTCTTGGTTAATTTTTCCATAACTTGGAGCCAGATCGTTGTGCAAGACTGGGCAAGATGTTGTGGTCTGTGGCATCCCTCACCAGCCATTTCTTGGTGCTGGCAGCAGCTCCAGCCAGCCTGGGGAGAGACACAGCCCTGGTTCTGCCCTGTCTTGCTTTGAGTCAGGAAGGTTCAGGTTTTGAGGTCAGAAAAATGGATTTTGGCTGCTATAAGCAGCAGAGGAAAGACATATTTGATTTTTGGTGACCAAACTAGACAGCTACATGTGTTGCTCTGCTCAGGTTTAAAACATGAAGGGTGGGTGAAGTGGATGTCAGTAAGCTCTGTATGGAGAACAGGGGCTGAAATCCCTCGTTAGCACAAAGTGCCACTCAGGTTGCTTCTCTATGTATTCAGGAACAAAATCTTGGGAGATCTCTCCCCTCTGAAATGAATCTGCTTTGTTGCAATTATTTTAGAAGACAGATATCAACACCTAGGATCTTTATTGCAGAATTAACTGCTATTTGCAGCAGCAAATTCCTTTGAAGGCAGTGAAATATGGGATACATCAAACTCGTACATCCATCAGATCCTGAGGTTTCTGCACTTTATTGTAATCTTCACTGCTTCATAAATTCTGATTGCTTTTCTCATGCCTGCCATGTCTGCACAGCTGCTGTTGGGTGGGAAATAGAAATAACCCAGCAATCTTTTTTCTTTCCCCCTCACTAAAAATAAAACTGCAATCATAATAACACATTGCTGCTTTGTGTTTTCAGTGGTGGCCTGAAGGACAACGATGTGATTATCAGCATCAATGGACAGTCGATAAGCTCAGCCAGTGATGTCAGTGACATTATTAAAAAGGACAGTACGTTGCACATGGTTGTGCGCAGGGGCAACGAAGATGTTATGTTAACAATAGTTCCCGAAGAAATCGACCCCTAACCAGAAACATGAGCTGGATTTCATGTTTTCTTTTAACAGCAATGGACTGCTTGTATTCTCTCTGTGCTGGTACAGGAAAACGTTAGACTTCTGACCAACATTCTGCTTGTTCAGTGGAGTAGTATTGGCCAACAGAGTAACTTCTACTAGGTTTAAGGTGCAAAATCAATGTAATTTCACATACTCCAGATGATAATTTTTTTCCTTCTGTATTATGTATGCAATGTATTCTTTACTGGCTTTTACATCCCCCGCTTAACGAATCGACGTTTGCTTCCCTGTGTTGAGATTTCCTGTCATTTCCTCTAAGACTTAAACAAAACAAAACCCACGCACACAATGTGTGTTGTGGCATTCAGGTATTTATAGGTTAGCTGTGTTTTAACTGGAAATGCCATTGTAAAGGAGTAGTCCACCTAAAAGACAGCACAATTGGGAAATAAAGTTTGATCCATAAACACAAAAGGAATCCCAACCCAAATAACCTCCCAAGGATCCCGTGCAGGACTTTAATACTATGATATTTTCCTAGTGTTATTAAAAGAATTCAACAGTATTTCTTGTGAGTGACTCATTTTGCTTCCCCTTATGGAGTGGTTCTCTTTGCATGGTACATCTGCCTGGAGGATGTCCTGGTGGTCTTCTTTTAATCATCATTTAATCAGATGACTTATTTTTCAGTGCCTTGTGTTTGTGCTTTTGTGCATCTGTTCTCCTCAGCAAGGCTGGGCTCGATTTGTCATATTTCCTATGTCTTCCAGATGTTAATGCATTTTCCTTACTGTTTTAATTACAACTCCATCAATGCCTGGAATCTGTTTGCCCACTGTAGAAATTGCCACATGGTGGACCACAGATCTCATATCATTTTGGTTCAGATATTAGGATGTCTGTAACCATTTAAAACTGGCCTGGTTTATCCAAATCTGGAGTGCTGGTGTGTGTATGGACCTGGTTTTGACTCTGGGATATTGGGCATTCCTCTAACAGGTATTAATCTTTATACATGTGTTTATTGATGCCCTTGAAGCTTGGGGGTGATGAGTGGGCTTGTCTTGCTGTGAAGGAGAACAATCAACTACGCCTAATTACAAGGTAATTACTCATTGGGTGAACAATAGGCTAAGCAGCCTTTTCTTTCCTCTGTTGCAACATGTATTTCAGAGAATAAATCCAAGGGCTGTAGACAAGTTCTGGTGACTGTCATTCCTAAACATGCTCTTCTTTTAGGAAAAGAATGTTTTAGTAAACCTCTGCAGCTGGGTAGCTGGCAGTTTGTGAGTTTTAAAGAAAGGGCTGTATTCCACCCAAATGCAGCAATAAATCCTCGAGAGCTGG